AGGCATTTCACGACATGGGTGCACTTACCTACATGCAGGCAATACACGCATACACATAAAATAAAAATAATGAATAAATTTTTAAAAAAATGTTTAAAAAAAAATCTTATTCTGAGCTCTCGTCTTTGGGCCCTATTTGCTGAGAGTTTCAAGATCAGATATCTGGGTTTAAGTGGGTGAGAGGAGAAAGTTGGAAAGTCAAATTACACAAATCATTATTTATGCAGTAAGCAAAAATGTATCTTCAACTGTGGTTACTTGGGTGAGTATATAAATTAAAGAAGCTTGAATTGTAAACTTACACCCCATAGGAAAATATATGATTAGTAAAAGTTATACCTACATGTATAAATTTACTTAATATGTATATGCAGTTGATTTGGCTATTTAGACTCAGACTGTAAAGTTCCATAAGGCAATGAGTAGGTTAGTAGAATGTTATTTCCCTCATGGTGACTATAGACATGATTTTGGAAGTACTTGTGTGTCTGTAGCCAGATGAGTCCAGTATACTTCTCTAGGAATAGTGGACATTATTTCTCTGTAGTTGGCTACATAAATGAGTCATGATACAAGTAATGAAAACAGACATGCCATGGTAATACCTAGTACTCACTGTTGACTCACAGCCATTAGCAGCACCACACACTTTATCTGTACTTCTAGAGATTATGTTTGTGTTTGTATTTCCCATAAGGAAGTCGAAGGTTAGGAAGTTCCAGTCTGAGCCAGTCTTTTATCTTGGATTCTGGCTGTGTGAAAACTGATTGATTCAAGGGGCTGGAGAGATGGCCTAGTGATTGAGATCACTTACTACTCTTGCAGAGGACCCGAATTTAGCTTCCAACACCACGTGGTGGCTAACAGCTGCCTGTAACTTAAGCTCCAGGGAATTTGATGCCCTCTTCTGGAGTCTGTGGGCATTCTACACATGTACCATACACTCAGACACACACAGAGGCATACACATAAATAAAAATAATAAGTAAAAAGATTGTAAAGATTGATTCTGTCATTTCTTATTCTAGAAGTAAACTGCTGCCCATACACTGAGCACAGCAGCTTAGCCCCGGCTGAAGACCTTGAAGCCACACTGCTGTTACTGCAGTACCACTAACGTGGTTGGGCTCACTGTGTGTTTATAACAAAGAGTTTGCCCAGGATGGCTGCTGACTATTGACAGGACAGCTTCACTTTATATTTTGATATACTGATAATGTTCAAAGTAATTCAGAAAGTTGTTACAAGTTACAGACTGTCCCTTTTTTTCCTCCTTGTGGTGCTGAGAATTGAACCCAGGGCCTTGTACATGGAAGAGAGTCAATCTACTACTGAACCACATCCTCAGTCTTTTGAAAATTTATTTCTTGAGCTGGTCATGATGGCACATACCTATACTCCCAGCACTCAGGAGACTGAGGTACTAAGATCCCTCAGTGTTCCAAGCTAGCCTGGGCTACAGAGTAAAACCCTGTTTCAAAAAGATGAAAAAAAAAAATGTTTTGCTGAGGTTTGGTGTTTGTGTGTGTGTGCGTCTGTGTGTGGTTTCAGATCGCTTTTAGATTCTCCTGCCTCAGTTTTCAGAGTTCTGAATTTATAAGCATGCAGTACCACGTCTTGCTAAACACATTTCAATATGATAAACATTCAAATGCTGGGACAGAGAATCCTTGAAAATAATCAAAGGACTGCAGTTATATATGTTAACAGCTATGAGGAAAAAAATTAATGTTTTTAAATAACTTATCTGTCACAATTTCTGTAAAACATTTAGAGATTGTTTTGGTCCTTTGGGTTTCTGTAATGCTTTTATTCAGTGAAAAAGATTGCTATATTTACTTTGAATTCCTTGCTTCAAGTAATGTTTGAATTATTCTAAGATGAGTTTGATGCAGGGAAAACATTTGAAACGGTAAAGTCTTTATTTGTTTATTTTAATCCAGTAGTTAGTTACTGATTGTAAGAGTATTTGAATGGTTGTAAGTATTTAGAGTTCAAGAGTTTAACATTTCCCTTGGTTTTTACCCTAGCAGAAATGTTTGTCTTGTTTTTAGCATAGTAGTCATCACTCTTAAGACTCAAAATGTATGTTTTAACAAAACGTTTTTCAAACAAGAAGATTTTGCGGTTCATTTGGAAGGTTGTTTTGGATGAGGTGTGAGAACAAGGTAGGATTCTTCCCCATGTCCTTGAAATTCCTTTATTCCATTGGAATAATTGTCTAAAATTTCAATGACAGTGTCCTGTGACACCTGATAAACTAGGTGTGCAAATTGTTGGCCCCACTTGACTGTATTGAAGGGGAATGTTGTTTTTTCTACTCTCAGTCAGCTCCTAGACCTAGACTATCCGTCTAAGAGGGAAGCTACAGGGCAAGGCTAGGTCACCCTGATCTCCTAGCTGCTTTTCAAAAGAATTATGTGGGCAAGTTGGCAAGGTCCCTGCTGTGAACGAAATCATCTGTCCATCTGAAGATGAAGATAGAGTCCAACACGCACCTATAAAGAAAGCCACCGTGAAGGTAAGCAATTGGAATCCTAGTATTACTTGGGGCAAGTGTTCATGTTCTCAGCCAAGATGTCTGTATGCTCTGCATTCTCCCGTAAATGGCTGTCAGTGCATGGTTAGTATTAGCAGAATGCTTCCCTCTGTATAGGGGTCTCAGAGCAGTCATTGGATTTTCAGGTTTAAATCAGGAAATGTCTGGTAATAAGCTTTGTGTGAATGAACTTGTGGATATGTGGACATTTCAGGACTGCTTTTTTTCTGTATGTAGAAACCTATGTTTGGTAGTGTGATTTAGGGATGCGAGTTTATATGAGAAATTGTCTTGAAATTTTTTGACAGAATAAAAATGTTTGCTAATTTTTAACTTAGGGAATTAAAAAAAAATATCTAACTTGGGGACTAGAGAGATGGCTCAGTAGTTAGAAGCACTGACTTCTCTTACAGAAGACCCAGGTTTGGTTCCCAACACCCACATGGCCACTAACAACCATTTTTAACTCCAGTTCCAGGAGATTGGAGAGCTTTTCTAGCTTCCAGGCACTTGGTACACATGGTTTGCTTAAACACATGCAGGCAAAACACTCATACAACACATAAGATAAAAATTAAAAAAAAATTTAAAACATCTAATTTTAGCTTAAAAGCTAGGGAAGGATTCTACCTGGGCCATTCTTACACAGTTGTACTACGTGTTTATCATTTGGCAGACTAGTCACAGTTGTTTTCCTTTCTCAGATTTCATTTGATGCATGGCTTACATGAAAACATAGAATTGGGGATTTTATTTTTCACTACTCATTTTTTGTTTTTTAAAGACAAGGTGTCTAGGGTGTAGCCCTAGCTGTTTTGGAACTTTGAAATGTAGACCAGGCTGACTTTGATCTCACAGGGATCTGCCTGCCTCTGCCTCCTAAGTGCTGGATTTAAAGGTGCAGGGGCTGGAGAAATGGCTCAGCGGTTAAGAGCACTGACTGCTCTTGCAGAGAACCCGGGTTCGATTCCCAGCACCCACAGGGCGGCTACAAACCGTCCTTAACTCCAGTTCCAGGGGAATCTGACCCCTGACCTCTGCGGCATTGCACAACACGGGTGTGCTCACATACATGCAGGCAAAACACTCATACACATAAAAATAATAAAATATTAAGAAAAAAAGATGCATACCACCAAGTCTGCCCTTTCTCACTACATTTTACCCTGGATTATATGTGTACATTTACCAGTACCCTCAGTACATTTTATAAATAGCACTTCTGGAAAGGTTATTGCTACAGTCTTCGAGATTACATGGAAATTGTCTGGGGTTTAAAGAAATGTCCCTTGTCTCTGTAAGTTTATAGAGACTTAGATATGACATAGTTTTTGTAGGATAGTAAAAGAACAAACTTCTTCAAAAAAAAAATTTCTACTCTCCTTGGGAGAATTAATAGGAGTTATACTACTGCTCTGTTTTAATAGCAGATAACACTACTAACAGCCACCATCTGTCTTAATTGATTCAGTTCATTCATTATGCACGTAAACACGCATATGCATAAACATTAACTGTCATTTAATTGGAGTATTTTGATCACAGGCTTTTTGAACAAATTCAAGCAGTGGACGTTGCCATTCTATAACTGATTAGTATGAATTTATTTATTTGAAAGCTGTTTCAAAAGAGTTTGCCATAGCAGTATCAAATACAAAATATTTAAGAGTCTCCACTAGCCAGAAACACAAAGCTCATCTGTAGCTACTTTGTTAGGAAAATTAGTTTATAATTCAAATGTAAGGTTTGAAATTTTTTACTGATATGCTGGGCTGGAGAGATGGCTTAGTGGTTAACAGCACTAGCTGTTCTTGCAGAGACTCGGGTTCGAATCCCAGCACCACATGGCAGGTAACAACTGCCTGTAACTCCAGTTCCAGAGGATCTGATGCCCTCTTCTCTCTGCCAGCATTGTATGACACAGGTGCACTTACATACATGCAGACATAACACTCATACACATAAAATGATAATAAAATAATACATAAATTTTTTTAAAGTTTATAAACAACATGCAATTTGAGAGTTGTTTTCTTACCCACTTGTGAAAAATTCCTGTATTACAGGTAGTAATAGTATAACAATAAGCATAATAAATTCTTGCCATGTGGGGCAGTACTTCTGCAAGACAGTTTTTATTTCTTTTATTTTCTTTTGGTTCTTGAGACTCTATCCCAGATTGGCCTGGAACTATTATGGTAGTCCAGGCTGTCCTTGAACTCTAGGCATTCCTCCTGAGTTAGCCTCCTGAGTGCTGGGATTACAGGTGTGTGCCAGCCCCCTCCAGCATGTTGTTTTTAAATACTGCTAAGTTGATAGTTTTTTGTAGTATGTTTGGCATATAGCTTCTCTATTTTATGTGTTTTTACTGCCAACATCTCAGTTTTAGATATGTTAAGTCTGAAAATTTTTATATTTAGATACAATATAGTACTTTTGGAACTTAAACCATTTTCTTAGTACAGTTTTATTTATTTTATACATGTGGTAGGTGAGGGCACCACTGTGGAAATAAGAACACCTTGTAGAGCAACTTCAGGAGTCAGTTTTCTCCTACTATGTTGGTTCCAGGGACCAAACTCAGGCCGTTGGAAAGCACCTTTGCCCGCCGACCGTCTCATTGGACCTTGAAGATTTTTTAAATCAGTATGCTTTCAAAATTAAGAGTTCTATTTAAGGAAGTTAATATGTTGAGGTATAAAGAGTCAGTGTGTTATTTAGAAGTCTGTATTGGGTGTTAGTAAACATTAGAAACTTGATCTTTTTCTGAAATTATCCTTTGTCCTCAGATTGAAGTAAACGTACCTCCTTCAGATCTCCAGGAGAAGGGAAAGCATTAGGTCGTTGTAGGTCATTTTAGAATACTGTGTATGGTTATCTCATATGTCAGTGTTAAGACAGTTGGTGTATTCGCTAAAGCCAAGAGTTTAGCTTGGTTGTTACCATTTGTGTTTTGCCTTTTTTTCCGCATGTGGGACACAGTTCAGTGCATTTGACCTGCCACATTGCTGTCGAGAGCCACTGGCATGTGCTTTTCCTCCAACCTCTAGGCAAATTTCTCTTCAGGCCTTTAGATTTTTGTGATCATCGTATTTAGCTTGTAATCTGGATTCGCATTTAAAGTTAGTAGATAGAAAAGTTAATATAAAGCATATATTATGTGTTGCTTATTTAATAAATATATATTGAGGTCCATGATAAGTACTAGAGATATAACTAGATTCAGAAGAAATATTCAAAGAGATTCCCCAAAAGAGAAGGAAAGAATTTCAAATGGAAAAGCGAACGTGAAGGCGACATTGCCTGCTTGCCTGAGACAGAAGGAAGGGCCGTTGTGTGGTAGTTCCTTGTGTGTGACTGCTGGATGATCGTCGTGTGACATGACAGGAGGGCAGAGCGCTTTCACAGTTTTTGTACCAGGTGAAAACTCAACTTACATTGGACTGACCCAACATTTTAAGGGCTCAGTGACTGTGTGGTTCTGGCTTGTCTGTCTCACCTTCCAGATCACAGAAGAAACCTTCGTGAAGGAACCTTCCTCCGATCCCAAGGTCTGTTTCTTTTTTGCCCTCACTCTTAAGGAATCATAATCCTGTTTTCTAAAGGATAAGGATTTATACAGTAGTAAATTGTGCTGCAGTGAGTGGAAATGTCGGGTGGTTCTCCTGTCCCTTCTGTAAAGTGTTCCCCATGAGTACCCATGGCTAAAGTCCAGTAACTAATGTTTGAGTGGAGGTACTGTGCTGTTAGCTCACTTATGCAGAGGCACACGTTTTCTTTTTCTTCCCTCCCCCCTAAACATCTCTAGACCTTGTCTATCTTGAAACTTAAAACTCTGCACCCATTAAATGACACTCTAGTTTCTTCCCCTCTCCTAACCACCATTCTACTCTCTATTTCTATGACTGTAATTACTTTGTCTTTTTGAGATGGGTTCTCCCTGTAGCCCCAGCTGGCTTGGAACTAGCTATGTAGACCAGGCTGGCCTTGAACTCACAGAGATCCGCCTGCCTCTGCCTCCAGAGTGCTGGGATTAAAGGTGTGTGCCACCACACCTGTCTTATTTTTATTTTCTTAATTGTTCAAATAAACTTTTATTTTGAGACAGAGTCTCGCTGTAGCCCCAGCTTGCTGTGTAGACCAGGCTGACTGACCTCAATTTTCACCTGCCTCTGCCTCCTGGGTGCTGGGATAAAAGGCGTGTTGCCACCATATGTGGCTTTTACAAATAAATCTTTTAAACTGTCTTAATGTTGATATAGGTGTCCTATTCAGGGATAAGTGCTCTGTGACCTCCTCTTCTCTGCACATTGGCTAATTTGTGGGTTTCTGTCGAAATTACCATCTGCTGCATAAGGAAACTTCACTTATGCAGAGTTGAGAGTTGAGTGATACATTAACCTCTAAGTATAGCATTAAGTCAGTAGGAGTCAGTTTAATACAATAACTGTTTAGTAGAAAACTAGTATTAGGCTCTCCCCTATGTCCTGTGACCTGTCTAGCCTCAGGTTCCTAGACCTGATCCCAGTGTCAGGTATGGGCTCCATCATATGAAGTGAACTTTAACAAGAAAATGGTTGGTCACTCCCATAATATAATATTTTCCACTATTGCACTAGCAGGCATGTCTTGCCAGGCCAGTGGTTGTAGTCCACAGGATTCACAACTGAGTAAAGCAGATTAGTTTTTCCTTCTGGTAGCATGCATAAATACTAGTCAGTGGAGATGAGTCTCTGAAGTCAGAACCAGCTCGATTCCTCCTTCTTTATTCTGTAGCTTTTGTATGTAGTGTCTTCAGCAATAGAGTCTTACTGTGAAGTTCTGGTGGGTGACCAAGAGCAGGGGCAATGGCCAGTATTGTTTGAGGGTCTGTGGGATCCCTGGTCAAGCTTCAAGAGAAGGAATCCATTGGGGTTTTTATTTGTTTGCCCATTGTGTCTAGTAGAGGCAATGTCTCCCTGTTCAGAGGTAACTAGAGGCATGCATTTTAAAATCAGATGCTAATTTAATGATTTTGCTATGATGAGAGTATATAAAATAACATTAGTATGAGGCATGGTGTTAATTGTAAGTTGTTTACCTCTAACACTGTTTTCTTTGATAATATATTTATAAGCTGCCCTGTTTTTTAACTACTAAGAAGTTTTCAAAACTGTAAAATAATGGTTTTTTAGTTGATTTAACAGATTTGTTAAAAGAAATTTAATAACAAAATATTTTTAATTAGTTCCGTTTTAGATTCCCTTTACTTGAAAATTATAAGACTAATGTTATTTAAGATAATTTTTATAAGAATAATGATTTGAGATAGAACTGACTGAAAATAACTTTTTAAAAAGTATTCATTGCAGCTGGGCGTGGTGGCACACGCCTGTAGTCCCAGAACTTGGGAGGCAGAGGCAGGCGGATCTCTGTGAGTTCAAGACCAGCCTGATCCACATAAGGAGATCAAGGCCGGCTGGGG